GGGGGGGGGGGGGGGGGGGGGGGGGGGGGGGGGGGGGGGGGGGGGGGGGGGGGGGAGCTGCATTTGTTTCATCAGACAGCAGTGTGTTGACTGAGGTCGAGAGCTAGTGAGTGCCAACGTGCCAACGCCCCTGGAAACGAGGTACCACCGCCAAGACGTCGGACGGAAGGTGGGTCGCGACAGCAGCAGCAGCAGCAGCAGCAGCAGCAGCAGCAGTACATACAGCGACGAGTCTTTCAACACACGCGGTGTGGTGAGTTTGCTTACCGGCGACAACCGGGAAGCCGATTCTAGCCAGGGACCCGGCAGATCCGAACCACCCCAGCAGGGCCCCCTGCGGCTGCGCTCCGACAACCTTCGAAAACAGACCCAGCACCTGCGAGGTGATGAGAAAAGGCACAAAACACGAAGTCCTTTTTCGCGTTACGGTGTTTTAGGAGGAATAGCGTGCACCGCCTTCACCAAGCGAAAATTCGTGTTCGTCGTACAGCGGGACGGAGAGCAGTACAAGTGCAAAAAAAAAACGAACGCTCTCTGAATCATTCGGACTTGTTCCACGATAAGGCACATGTGTGCGTTAGTGTGTGCGGCAACACCGAGCGAGCGCATACCGTAGAAAGCAACAAAGCAGACCTGCACCCAATGGGTAAAAAACTTGGGACCAAAAAAAAATGCAGCAATGACGAAGACCGCCTTGAGTTTACGCTTGCGCCACCGTTGTATGCACAGCGAAAAACAATAGCACGGGCGTAGTGTTATATTATCCAAGATTGCTGAGAATCAATCCCCGGTGAACACGTTGGCACGAGAATAAGAGCATGCACCCAACCGCAAAAAAAACAGCGGGAGGACGGACTGACTCACCGCTGTGTGTCCGATGGGGTAGCCCACCGAGTACATTAGGAAAACTGCCCACAAGAAGAGAGGGAGACCCGAAGCCCCCTCCGGATTTCGCACGAACATGAGGCACGCCACGATCATCACCCCCATGCCCCCCAGGACGATCTGGACGTCGTTCAAGTAGCGGCAGATCAAACGCATCGACAGCAACGACACCTGCTCTCTCCGCCGTTTGGGGGGGGGGGGGGGGGGGGGGGGGGGGGGGGGGGGGGGGGGGGGGGGGGGGGGGGGGGGGGGGGGGGGGGGGGGGGGGGGGGGGGGGGGGATGGGGGCAGAGTCAGTCACGGCAAACACTCGTACGTGATCATTGCTTGCTTAATTGGCGACAACCTCACGTCAAAAAAAGAAAAAAACGCACTCTGACACACACAACGGTTGTAGTTGGGCATCATCTGTGGGCTTAGAGCAAAAGTCGCGAACCATAAACTTTTGTGAACGGGAGCCCTTAGACCTTCTCGGTAAAGCCTCAATCTACCATTGTGTCTTTTTTCCGGGTGTTTGCTGTGTGCCCACTCGACTAGTGTGCAAATTCAGATTCTAGCACTACTGAAGAACAGCACCCTGTAGCGGCGGACAAAGTTGCGTCGTCTATAGCTATTGCTGAGTTAAGATTCTCAACCTATTTGAGAACCGCACCATTATAGAGTGTCGCTTGCAGAAAGCGTTTGGACGAGATACGCACACGAGAGGTGCGTGCATAACGCAAGCCGACACCAACGTTCCCCTGCTGCCTGCATCCTGCAAATCTCGACCAGACCTCGGGCAGACAAAAAGCTGTAAAAAAACAAAAAAAAAACACGGATATTCCAAACTCACCACTCCAATCGACCCGAAGGTCGCGAAAGTCGACCCTGCTTCCGCACTGGTCATGCCGAAGTGCGTCATGGCGTACTCCGCACCAAGGGTCTCGAAGCAGGCGATGGTGCCCTTGGTGCTCATGTTCAGCAGGAAACCCCCGTAGATGAGCACTTCCGACGCGGTCGGCGTGCGGCACCACCACCGCTCTTCTCTCCGCAACTCCTCCTCCCCTCCCTCTTCCCCCGCGCCCTCTTCCGGAGCGGGAACACTACCGTACCCGTTGCTGTCATTGCCGCTGGGAGCCGCCAGCAATCCCTGCTCGGAATCTTGCACCATCGCCGTTGCCGTTTTTGGTGTTGTCGCCGACACGGTCGACGGCCGCCGCGTCTCGTCCTCGTCGTCCGAGTCCACGAACAGCCCGGGCCCGCTGCTGCCGTTCCTCGCGCCCGGCTCAGCCGGGGGCCACTGGTCGTCGGTATCGCTGTCGCTCATCCAGCCAGACCTTCATATATCAGTCCCACCACCGAAGCCGAAGAAGCGAGCAATTTAACTGGATCGACTATCCTTAGCTCAACTTCACCGGACGGGCAAACTCAACAACATCCAGTGGTTGTCGACAAGATCAGACAAGTCACCAATACCGCGCTGATTCCGGAATAAAAGGAACGCCCACTGCGGAAACAAACGTCAATATCCATCCCGATGGTCCCTACACACATGTGTGCCCTGTGGGATGTATTGTTGGGTTTGAACAGTCCGATAACAAAGAGCAGACGCATCAGGTTTCGGTTTGAACAGGTACTGGTACCAAGCTCACACAAAACTATGTATCGGCTGAAGGAGAAATCCGGTTGTCTCAACTCGCTTCCGTTCCTGGCCTGGGTGGCAAGCGCTAGTTCGTGTGTACACAAGGGGAAGAGAGTGCTGCACTCTTCTCGCATTAAGAGTCGAAGGCAAAGCACCGCAGGAGGGGTGGGTAGGGAGCCTCAGGGAGAGTATCCAATCTGTGTGATGACCAAGGGTTGGGGTAGACCGCACAAAAGCTGTGAGCGCTGAGTTGGAGTAAAGCCAATAAAAAAAAAAGCACGTACTGGTACCACGTACAGCCGTGCCTCGCTTAAGGACACCGAGAGTAACGAAACTCCCTAGGTTAAGGACAGGACACTTTTCTTAGCAAGAAAAACAGGTGTGCCCTTAACCGAGGTTCGACTGCTGTACTTACTAACCTGGCGAGGGAGACCTCGGACGGAGCCCCCATGAGGTACTTGGCCGCGGAGCCGCTGCTGTAGGCGATCTCCGCCTCCGTCTTGACCAGCGGCGTGCTCTTCTTGGTCGAGGCCTTGACCTGCTTGCTCGTCTTGGTCGACTTGCCCTTGGGGATGGAATCCTCGAACACGAGCTTCAGGAGCGTGAAGAGGAGCAACGCCGCTACCACCATCACGTATGCCTGTTGGTCCGATCGAAACGGGGTCGGGTCAGTCGGTCAAGACTTGGGGGAAAATATTTTCCATAACTCTGCTGTTTGGTCCCCACGGCCTTTGTCCATGATGGCCCTGTGACGGCCCTCGAGGTGGGTTTTGTCATACCGATTTTATCCTGGTGGACACGCGGGTAGTCCGTCTGAGCGAAGTCAGGGGGGAAAGCAGTTTACAGCGACGCCGCCCCCGCGTCAGCGTTGACGCGTGAACGGACGCAGAAGGGTGCCAGAAGAGACTTGAAAAGGTGCAAAGAGTCGACGTGAAGTGAAAAAACGTACAGCACGACATGGTCAAGATAAACCTTCCGTGTACTCGTGTCAAACCTTCCATTTACTTATGTCTCGCGCACAAAAAAGACCGACCAGTGTTCACGTACCGCCCCCCCGCCCAACCATGAACGAGCAAATGTTGAAAAAATAAAATAACAAGGGTAACGGCGCCACCCCTGGATCATAACCATCATCTCTTTCGCTCGAGTACATGAGCGTGCCCCAAAAACAGACGAAACCAAACCTTACCCCTGTCTGCCGGTCTCCAGAAACAATGCACCGCATAGATGGATGGATGCCCGTAAGCGACCGCAGCCTTTGCTTGAGCCGTGAAGCCGCAAAAATGATCGTGTTTTCCAAGAGGGGGTTGGCAATATCACGACTACGATCGACACCGCCCCCACGTTTCCGCCACTCCACCAAAAAGGCTGGGGACTTAGGACAGGTGCTTTCCAACAAGCAATCTTGTCGGTTGTTGTTATCGGTTGTCGCTGCCTCCACGCAAGGAAAAACATACAGATGACCGGCTCAATCCAGCACCACCTCACCTTTTCCGGACTATTCCACCAGAGGGCACCGGTTTTCGTGCAATCAAAGTAACAACAGTGCCGAACCACCTTCGCCAGGATTCTTCTTCCAATAATAAGCTTTGAAAGAGAGGGGGGGGTTTCGTCCCTATCCCTATTCTCAACCCAATCCCCCGACTCGAACCAAGCCCACGAGTACTATCCTCGCGGAGGCTATTGGCAGCACCAGCATGATATAAGAATCAAGGCGCAAGATTGCAGTCGACAAAACAGCGTTGCTCGTCACTACTCACCCCCTTCGACTCCAAGAAAAGGCACCTCTTGCCACGTTTGCTATTTGCTTACCGGCGCGGTGAAGGAAGTTAGCACCAAGAATTCCCCGAGCAGGGGTATGCGGCGGTCCTTGATCAGGAACGATAGGAAACCCCCTACGAAAGGCATGCACGTAAACCCTGCGTATTGCACCGCGCTGAGAGTGGGGTGTGGGTGGGTGGGGGAGCGTGCCGCCGCCGTCACGAGAAGCAGCGGCGAAAAAAAAAGACACAACACAAGATAAACAAGGCGGGGATGGATGAGAACAACAACTTGCTTCCGTTGGTCACTTGTTCGTGCGGGGTTCCGCGGCTGGGAGAAACGGGCCTAAACTGCTGCGATGATGCCTCTTGCCCAAATACAGCAGGGGGGGGGGGGGGGGGGGG